AAAAAAAAAAAAAAAAAGTCAAAAAGTGAGAATTTTATGTTTCGAGATAGAGAGAATGGAGTCTAATTTTATTGGTCCTTTTAATGATCAAAGTTAGAAAGATATATGATACATCAAAGGACTAATCAAATATTAAGTTGACTTCTTCTCCATTAAACGATCAAGTTACAGATCGAGACAAAGACGTACACATATAGGTACCATTTAATTTCTTTAATTAGCCATCAAAATTGACGACTGATCTGTAGGTTTTTCCCGGCTGCCAGCCGGCCGGAATCACTCCATTGGCGACGATGATCTTGTCAGACTCGAGCGATGTGAGTTTAATAGAGAAGGGAGCTTGGAGGGCGGAGCCAGAGTCCAGCTTCCAAACTGCTCCCCATGACTGTTGCATGGATTGCCAGGATTCAGAATCCAGAGCCTGCTTGAGTTGCACAGATCCCAGTTCACCATCCCCATCCTCGTACTCAATTAAGGTTGCAAAGTAGTTCGGATTCGATCCAGCATCAACGTTGAAGGCCACTGTCTTTCCGGGGTAGTTGCATTCAACTCTGTAAATTAATTATTAATTGAATCATTAAAAATTGATTAGTAACTTAATTCAAAATAGGGATCTACTGAATCTACAAAATGAATCAAAGTTTATGAATTTAATATTACAATATGTAATTGATTAAGCAGAGAATTAAACGTTGTAGTAAAGGTAAATTTAAAAAAAAAAAAAAAATTACTTTCTATATTGAATCTGTAAAACTCCGGCGTTTCGGAGTTGGTCAGCCTGGCCGGAATTCGCCATTGCTCCAAAAGCAGTGCCACTTAAATCGAAGTGAACGGATTCAGAGACGCAACCAGGGCACTCGTCGGTAAGCACGACAGTCACAGGATTGCCTGAGCATGCTGCATTCGTCGAACATTTCACCTGGAATTGTACGTATATCACACAGTTAAATTAAGGTTCTGCCACTGAATTCAGTAAAAAATTGCTAATAAAGTTTACATATGTATAAATATGTATTTATAGGTTTCAACCTCATAACAGGCTCCACATCCTTTGCCGGATTTGTAAATAGAAGGACCTCCAGCAGATACCATTGCAGAGAATGGAGATTGTTCTACAGCAGTCCCATACCCACAAGCTCCACCTATATATATGTTAAAAAAACAGACGTTTCAAAATTCTAAACATCTTTATGTATTAAGTAAACGGAAAAGCGTATATATCAACATATACAGTATCTTCATTACCATCACTACCAGCACCGTTGGCACTGCCATACCATGTTGCTCCAGCTGGTGACCAATCTGTCTCTGATGCCTCTAGGGAGGTATTTAGGAGCTTCGGGTAGAAGCCAAAAGAAGGGTTAATTAACAAGGACAATGCAATTAAAAGAGTAAGAGGAAGAGGGAATGAAGATTGAAGGAAAGCCATGACTAATAATTTTGATCAAACTCGATAGACCAAGAAAATAAATCAATTTGTTGGTGACTTGTGGGTTTTACTTGATGAGTAACTAGGTATTTATAGAAGGAGGAGATCATGCATTGGTTTCTAATGCATCCAATCAATGAATCCCACTTGTCAATGATGGATGGTTTTTTTAGGTTACATTGGACGGTATTTTCTGTAAGAATAAGCCAAACGTGTTTCTCGAGTGTCCAAGTAAAGACATGACATGTTTAATATATTTATATCTCCCGCGTGGTATGTTTTCTTGACTTCTTGATCTCGCCCAAAGAAATTAAACAATCAAAAATGTAAATGCAAAAGTGATATATTTGAAATTTAAATCTCACTTAATAATTATAAGGTGTAAAATGATTAATACATATTTGATACAATATATTTTTTAATATTTGTTTCAGTTAAATTATTAAAATATAATATAAATATAATTGATTTTTGTATTTTATATGTACAATTATTTATTTAAGTTTGTTTATTTTTAAATTTTAAATAAAATAATAATAGCGGTTGTCAGTTTGAGGTGCATTTTCCCCTCTCCCATAAGCGGGTTTCGAGCCCATCTATTGACAACTTGTTCAATAATAATAATAAAATAAAATAAAAATAATTTTTTAATAAATATATTGTAAATATATTTAATTAAAGTATATGCCAATCACTATCATTATGAATTTTATGCTTGTAATTCATGATTTTTAAATAAGAAATTTGATATTTCATTTTTGCTCATGTAGTTAATTAATATTTTGATTATTTAATTAAAATCACGGCCTTTTTCGTTCTAATTTTTGTTTGAAATCTTCCCTTCTAATTTATCAATTGATTGTTTGTAGTATATTTGGTTTAAAAAAAAAATAAAGGAAAAGAACATCATTTCATTTTTCTCCCTTTCTAATTTTCTATTAACCAAATAGAAAAATTTTTACACATCTCCTCCCCTAAAATCAAACATAACAACAAGAAAAATGAAAAGTTGAAGAAACCATAGACAAATTACACACTATAAACCACATTTTCTTCCTCCCTTTTATTAATTGACAGACTTTGATGAGATTAAAACATTGAAATTTAGCTCAAACATTTAGTCATCCGTGGAAAGCAAAGATAAAGTTTGAATTAAGACGAAAAAAAAGACGGTTTTTTTTGGGTGAAGACCCACCAAGACGGTTAATAGCGGACCCACAATCAACTAAAATTCTATTATGTCTAATGTTTGTTTCCAAGTGCAAAGACCCACAATTAAAGGGGGAAATATAAGTACAAGATTTGCGGTTCTATGCGAAAGCGAAATATTTTCGTTTATGTTGCCGTTGATGGTGGTTACCGACCGTTGAACACCTCATCGGACGCTCCAAAACTAACTTCTACCTATCGTGATATTTGCCGGGGATTAGGGGCTGTGCACTGTAATTTCGGGACGTAATTTCAGCGCTATATAGTGATTCAAACCGCTTATTCTACATGAAAACCAAAGTTGATTATCGACTAATTATTTGATTTTTTTAATGTAGTAGAGTACAAAGCAGGACAGAAAGTATGTACAATATTTAAACCAAAATATTATAATTACAATATTATATAGTATTGTAAACTTGGACAGTGATTGATACACTCTGATTCAACCTATTGCATGATACACTCATTAAAAAATCATTATTTTTTAATCTGAAATTAAAAACAGACAAGTTTAATGATATAATTATGCACGCAGGATACAAGAATAGATTGAATTGACTATATTTATATTATAATTTTAATAACTAAACC